ACTTAGTGTCCGAGCATTATGAACCCTTACAGGACAAGGAATTTGAACAGGTTTCATTCAAGACCTTTTTTCTTATTGCGAAAAAACAGTTGCCGGGTCAACCTGATCGTCTTTTTACAATCCCGCCTTTGTCTACCATATTGGGTCCAGCAGATGTTGAAGATCTGTCTCTTTGTCCAGTCAGAGCACTTCGCATTTACCTTAAAGCATCGCAAGAGCGCCGCCGTCTGGGTAAGAGACTATTTATACCCTTGTCTACTGCTTCCAAGGTGGAAGTCTCTCGCACAACACTCTCATATTGGCTACGAGCTACAATACTACGAGCCTACAGTTTTGCCGGTTTGCCACCACCTACGGCAGTCAACCCTCATGAAACCAGGGCATTGGCTTCTACTATGGCGTTGCATACCAACTGCTCATTAACTGCTATAATGGAGGGTTGTTTTTGGCAATCTGACACGGTATTTTCGTCTCATTACCTCAGAGATGCGTCGTTGAAGGATATTCAAGGCCTTCATCAGTTTGGACCACTCGTCCTTGCCCAGCAGTTATCAGCGGCACAACATCGCAGATAATGAACCTGAAAAATTGTGATATACTCTTTCACCCTCCTGGGGACGGTGTCTGTGGGGTTGTTTCGAAGCAGGGCTGGCCCGACTATCGTTAGACTTTTATTACGGGGGCCTTGGAAATCGAATATATACCAAATATATACAAAATGTTGAAGTAGTGTTCACCGACGCTAGAACGCAGGATATTTGGAAGGAAACTTTCGTTGTTTCAAGCAACATACATGTATATGGATATATGTGGCATGTAAGTAGTCCGAAACATTCTGATAATCTGCTTGTTGTTATTTTCTTTTTGTTTTCAATGTCAACAAACGAAATAATCGGTACCGTCATCGTTGTGCATGAGTTTGCGTCAGCCATGGCGTCATGCTTACGGAAACTATCTATATGCATCTTGTTGAAGGTATGAAATAATTTGAATAACCTATTTTTAGCTACGATACTCTTACTATGAATATACGCTAAAACACACGAGTGTATGCAACGAGTAGGCGAACGGATATAAGAAATGATACACAGAGTAAAATATGGGCTTGATTTTGTGCATACACAAAATTACGCAAAAAGCCGAAAATAGTGATATAGTAAGTGTCAAAACTTGCGAGATTTACGATGTATGTAATTTTCAGTGAATGTGCACTCCTCCCCACAATGATTGGACGATATAGAAATGCAAATTTCGGCGAAGAACACCTATTTGGATATGGTTTTGACATCAAAGCGAGGGTTGAAGGGGTGGGGGGACATATATTGTACGATCTATGTAGAAACTATGTAGCAAAGTTAGAATGCCGGCACACTCACCAATGACTAGCAAGATGTAGTTCATATGTACGTTTTAGCTACCTTTGGAAAAACCACAGAACAGGTTGAATGTTATACAATTTGATTTTGTGGTAACACTTTTTGTACAGTGTACTCGTTTTTCTTTCAAACAAACTGCAACGTCATCACAGTGTGTAAGTGATCGGTACTCAAAGCCAGCTCACGACCAGGGAAACAGTAGGCTGTGTATCTAGACACAAGAACCACACCTATACCTGCACCACGTGAAATGGGTCTAATAGGGTCTAATGACATAATTTGTTATGAGTTTGGCACCAATTACGTCCATTGCAAGGGATATAATCCATGGTGTGTTTATTGTGGACATAGAAAAGTCGTTAAATGTGCAAAATATGAATCGATATAATGCAAAAAGTGAAATAGTTACTTATTATATCTGTACTGTTTTGGCAATGAAACTAGTTGAAAAACACTTTTTATGCTTAAAAAGTGCAAGACAAAAAGGTTAATTTTCATGTAAACTTTTCACGTACAGCAAAGAATTTTGAGGTTACTTTTGTGAAGTCGATGAAAACTCAAAGGTTAGCTACACCTTTCAATCCAAGAAGTGTACCATTACATAACATGGGGGTATTTTACAAAGGTATGGAAAGACTATTCATTCATAAGGGATTCCAAGTGATGGTCATATGGAGCTGAGCATAAGAAGGTAACTGAATTTCAAGAAGATGTTTCTTCGTTCTAGCCATTTCTCAGGCTACCACCGAAGCAATGTTAAATGTGGCAATGAATCGTCAGGCAGACTGTGAAAGAATGTTTCTTTCTGCGATTGTCTCTCAGCAGGGTCATCAAAAATTTGTATCAGCTCACGTTAGTTCTTCTGTGACAAGGATTAATGTCAGTTAGTGGTCAGACCAAGTATACGTCAGGCATAATAAGGATGTTGTACAAGACTCCAAGGCCCCAGATGTTGATCAAATCAGTTTAAACTCTATGTTCAGACAGTCTACGTAGAGAACAAAGTTCAGAATTCGTTTTTAAACAGTGGGAAGAATGATGATTTATTTCCAAAATCGGGACACTGCTAGAGGACCCCTATGTATTTAACATTCTCAAGAAGGTATACAGTCCTCTGCTAAGAAAAGAGACTCCCTTAACAGTTGGTCCTCCAAGGATAGTATACTTGCAAATTCTTCAACCAAAATTGTCTGAAGCCAATAAGCAATAAGCAATAGGAATCAACCATGTGACAAAACTCTGCAGTTTTATTTTAAGATCTTTCTGGTTCCCAAGAAGAATTCAAACGAATAGTTTCATTTAAATTACAACAAGAAGGAATGCATTAAGAATCATCTACACCAGCCAGAGAAGTTCAAGATACTTTTAAACAAGCATTGATCTGTCAAGATGCCTACCTTCTCATCCCCTTTCATCAAACACCTAAGACGTACCTGACTTTCCTGTTTCAAAGATTCCTGAGACCATAATCAGGATCTCAACATTCATTTTTCACAATGGCTGAAGAAGTGCATCCTTACGTGGACAGTCAAGTGGAATGTCTCACAGACAATGCCCTTTACATAAATCAGCCAGGCACAACAAGGTCAGCGGGTCTTCTAAGGCTGAATTTCAACTGTATGAACTGACTTCACAATCTCACAATAAGAGCAACACGGATTCCAGGAGCTATGAACGTGAAAGCAGATGTGTTGGCTGGATCAATCAAGCCATTGGAATGAATGCCACATCTGAGACATTTCAGCTGGAAGTACAGGACCAAGGTTGCCCACTGATAGATCTGCAACTAGATTCAACAAACCATCGTATCTCCAATTTCAGACCCTCTGTCCTGGACTATCCATACACTGGTATTATGCTGATAAAGTTTGCACACATATGCGTTCCCTTCATGAGTGCTTATAGAACAGATCACAATTAAAGAACCTGACTTTGGTAGCCACACTTTGGCTGTCAAGAACCTAGTTCCCATATCTGTTGGCAATGGGAATACCGAGTCTAAAACTTCTGAACTTGCACAATCTTCTCCTTCACCTTATACAAGACAACTTCATCCCAGATTGGGGCTTTTCGAGCTTCAGGTATGGAATTTATCAAGAACTGCTTTCTCAGAAAAGGATATTTAGCCTCAGTGGAACCAGTTGCCTCGGTACCTCAGGGATTAACATGGGACTTTCATAGCAAAGAATCAGCGCAAGGAAAATAGATAGTTTCACAGCCCACTTGTAACATCGATCTTAGGATCAGATGATAAACAGGACTTATGGGTTTATCTCATAAGAGTGCTTCACATTTTTGTTTGCAAAGAAGAGCTTTGAGAAGAAGAAATGGTACAGGATTTATCCCTCTATCTCAAAACAAATCTACAGATGCCTCTAGAACAATTATACCCTTCTGGATGAGAGCAGGAGCAGGCTCCTACTACAGCTTATAATGAATAAGTGAGTGAGTTTAGATTTATGCTGCTCTTAGCACTATTCCAGCAACATTATGGTGGAAACACTGAATGGGATTTAACACATTGCACCCAACTGGGAAATCAAACTTGCTTCTTTGGTGTGATGAGCAAACTACAGCTTTTAACCCCAACAAAGTAAGTCATAGGCTGCAGACACAGTTAATCCATCACATCCATCACGGAAGGTTCTTTTGGAAGTTTGATACTGCCTTTTCCAACCATTATCTCCATCAATTTGGTCCTTTGGTCGCAGCACAACAATTGACAGATCCTTCAAAAAGATACAATCTCCCCTAGAACCTAGACTCATAGACGTCAGACATAGACAGTACCATACCAAACGGCTGAGACTCCATGCTTCCTGTTTTACTATGTAGTTCAGAGACTTGGTGATGCAATTCAGTTCCGTTAAGGACTGATTCTGAACATACTGCTTGTTGTTAGACATATATGTAATATTATCGAGATGAAAGAAGAATAGAAGTTCTCAACTTCTGAACAGTTTCAGAATTTTAACTTAAGTGGCTGTCCATCTGACGTATTCAGGCAATCAGTTGGTAAGTGAGGAGAAGGGATAATATGCAGTTTGTACTAATCCTGAATTATATGCTAAAATAAGAATCCATCCCCAGATTCTACTAAGTGTCAACAGGCTTGATCGTGTTCAGGTGAAATGTCTTTGCTGTTCTTTGGTCACAGCACATAGTTTCCACTATATCTTGGAGAGAGATAAGTATACATTATGAGTCAGAATAAGTGTATAACAATATTAAGTCTCTGAAAATTATTATGAGAGTCCAGCAAATGAAGGCTGTCAAGGAAATCATTAACTTGCCTCATTAAGTGTCCTGTGCAATGAACCATATATCAGTTATGCACATAGGAATATTTGGTCATGATCAGCCTAATTGAAATAAAGAATTTTAAAAATGCTATTTCTAGAATATGTCTGAAATACTGCCAATGTGACCGTACTATTTAATCACTTACATTTGTGACATAAATATATTGAAATAGTCGTTAAGATATTGAACAGAATTGTTACATTTGTGACACATATATATATTGAAATATGCGTCAAGATATGAAAAAACATTAGCATCAGCATTGTCCATACTTAAAAGGCGTTAACGTCATGTGTTCCTTTCACCATTTCTTTCCAACAGACGCCCCGGTGATCACCTCCGTCCCCAGCAACAAGGATGTGACAGAGAACACCAGTCCCAACATCGACTGTAGCAGTAACATCACACCAGGCAACCCTTCAACAACAAGCTACAGGTGGACAGGTCCAGGTGGTTACAGCAAGGATGGGGCTGTACTTGACAGACCTGTCACCAGGACTCAGGGAGGAGTGTACAGCTGTACTGCCTCCAACACTGCAGGACTGTCAGACACAGCTCAGGTCAACATCAATGTGCAGTGTGAGTGGAATATCAAATCATCCAACAAACAGAGATTGAAATATCCTGGTACACTATAGGTTTTAAGGATTGTGATGAGGGTTATGCAGGGTTTATGCATCCTGTCTTAGGTTTTATAAAACCTGATGGGAGATACATAAACCCTGATTACCCCAAATTGTAATGCCATGACGAAGTTATCTTACTGAATGTTTAAAGCTTCCAATATGTAAATATAGCATTCAAACAACCTGAAATACAATTATTTATTTAACTAACTTGGTACCGAGTAGTCGATCCTAGCCACTGATTCACTGTTCACTTGCTGCCATGGATGCAAACTTTTTCCCCATAGGGTGGAGTATAAATTATTTATTCTCCCTCAGAAAGATTTATACCCCACTTGGGCGGTGTACGACCGTTCAACAGGCATACATGGTAATTAGTTCAAGGTCATGGGAATCAATCAGAGATGGACATTCTTAAATAAGGTAGGATAAAATGATTTGGTAACACCTGTGGATATGCCATTCTTGCCATAATGAGAATGACATTTTCAGGGGTTTGCTGGTTGAATATTGGTCACATGTTTTTTTGGCATTGTGACATATGACAATGGACTTCAGTTAATTAAAGATGTCAAACAACATTTGTGTTTATGGACTTTGATGCATTATCCTTGAAAGTGGGAATCGTAAGCAAACAAGTTTATATTGATCATTTTGGAGAACTTATTAATATTTTCCTGTATTTGTATTGTTATCTTGATAGCGAACTCACTGAAATCCATGTGAGAATGTATTGATAGATTATTAATTTTGGTCAAGGAAGCCCGCATCACATTCATTGACAAAATGCAATAACGTGGATTATGTATTTTTTGCACCCAAGGAAGGGGAAGGCTGATCTAATTTATTGCTAGCACTCCAAGCGGTGTTTAATTGGGCAATGGCAGTTGGTCGTCAAGTATTTTGCTGATATTAATTGCCACTTGAGAACCCAATATAGGGTCTGCGTTGTAAGTGATACACAGCCTACAAGACATACCTGGCAAATTCATAAAATGTCTGAAGTATAATTGAAACATTTAAACCTATCCATGGTGACTCAAGTCTTGTGCATAGCACATTGCCCAATACATGATCTGGAACCAATGGAGGTGTTTGCAAACTGATCTTCAGCATCCTGAAGTATAACGGTCAGGGTGGTTGCATTGTAAAGCACTGTTAAAGCAAAATGTGTAGTCATTTGATGACATCTGGTTGAGATGAAATATGCACAGTTCTTCACACGAAATATGTGTGGCCTTGGTCCTATCTTTGAGGAAATATGCGGTTCACTTTCTCAACTCACATCGCCAAGATAACCCTGATTTAAACCTTGACCCCAGGTTATGACGAGATGTTGAAGCATACAGTGCTCATTCCATATATGTTCAGTGATTCTGAAGTTCAGAGTTTTGTTACTTTCCGCCTTGAATTATTAAATTGTTTAATTGTGGATATATGATTGCACAAAAAGATTTCTTAGTGCTCTGTTATGATCCTTGGATTAGTAATAGCATAGATCAACAACCGTCTTCATTGTGCCAGACCTTTCAAAAAGCTTGAAAGCCATGGATCTGTTTTTATTTACTGCACCTGTTGTTTAGTTATTTCCTGAAATGACCAGTGTCTTGTGTTGTCTGTCTTGTAAATGGTCGTTCCAAGTGCAGTCTGTAGGAGTTATCTCCCCTGACGTGAGTGTAGAACCTTTTCCTTTGGCACACATGAATTCACGTGTTTTCTTGTACAAAATTTTCTCAGATTCCGAATTCGGTCTTAATATGTATTCACAATGGTGAATGCTGGGAATGTCCCCGAGCTTCCCTATGTGGCCCCTGCCAACAACTTTCTCCTACAAAATTTGAGAATTATGCATTGCTAATAAACAAAGGCCAGGAGAAGATTAAAGTAGCTTCAAAACCGCAGGTGTCCTCTCAATCCTGTCTGACCATGCCACACCGCTTTCCTCTATCCCAGTTCTTCAACCGACGTACGTCTCTGAGGAACTCTGTCCACTGCCCTAAAGACGTTCGGAGATCATATAAAAGGCATATCAGATAAATTATCAGCTCTTGCTGTGAAGCTGGCCACCACTGATGGTTATTACCATATGATCAGAAGAATACCGTAGTGCTCAAGTCATTTAACCTAGACACCGAAAGAGCCACACCAGTTATGGTTACTTTGACAGACGTCGGCTCAAGCACAACTTAGACACTGCCGCACCCACTGATTGATGATAGCTACTACACAACTCATGGTCCACAGGACTGCAGGGATCACACGGATTGCAGAAGGTCCAGTTAGCACAACATTAGAGCTAGCAGCACAGACAGAACCACGCGTGTCACTGTAGCAGCATAACACATTCGGATCGTAGGGATTACAGTCGTTATAGAGCTCAGCCAGCTTATAATTACAGCTTGAGCAGCGTGCATGCACAGGTAGCATGGCCAGTATGGACAGTACGGTTAAAGATGCCACTACATCATGCATCATATCAGACAGACAATAAGGTAACCGGAAGACAATGAGTCAGTGAGTGAGTGACTTAAAATGTATAGTCACATCCGCAATATTTCAGTCATATGGTTGTGCATACACAATTAATAGAAGTTGTTAAATAATCAGTCATCGAAGGACTGTAAAATAACGAGGGTATCACAGATGGAAGACAATACAATATAAAACAGGCTAACCAACAACCGAAGGTAGATCACCATACTAGGGGCCATGGGGACTTTCAGTGCTTTTGCTGCCTGCATGGACCCGACAGTTTAGCCGACAGTTTAAAATAGCTAAAATACTATGTTAAAAATCTGGTAAGTTTATATTTACAGATTCTCTCAGGAGGACAAATTTTTTTACGATGCTTTTAAACCCCTTTAATCCCCCAATAATTCTATTTCCTTAAACAAAATCAATTATTAAATGATGATTAACACTACAGAAAAGATCCTTAATTGTTTTGACATTAAAATATATCTCTTGTGATGGAAAAATCGCTGCAGTCAAGTAAGACATGCTTGACTGTGATTATCTCATCACAAAAGATACAAGACGGAGGATCTTCTCCTTTGAGCAAATATTCATGATTGTATCTGGTATGGCCAATGCGACATCGTCCCATGATTAACTCGTCAAATCTGGACTGACAACCCAAGTAGGTGTAACCAATATAGCGTTTTATAGATTGTCATTTATTAATGCATACTTGAGTGTCCCACTTCTTTTGCATCAGATCACGATTGTACGATCTAATGGTTGCTTTGTAATCGGAGTATGGAATGAGAAGTGGTGTCACAGATTGGTTGAGTGCTGCGTTAGTAACAAAATCAGCCATTGTGTTACCAGAGGACCATGTTGTATTGGCCAGTAGCAAGATCATTTTATAATTCAATAATATCGATTAAGAGTGGATGTTTGCAAGAGATATTTTTTAAAAGCCTAAAGGCAAGAAAGAGAGTCTGAAAATATGATCTATTTTTTATATGTAGGATTTTTAAAAATATAATTACGCGCTGTGAATATGGCATTTGCTTCTGCTGTGAAAATAGAACTATCGCCTGGTAATCCGGAAGACAACCAGAAGACAAGTGGTCAGTGTTTTTTTCTGCCCTTGATGTATTATTTCTGGAATCCATGCCACTGATACCAGAACTAGAAGAATTAGCGAAGGCCTGAAGCTCCCCTTTTCAATATTAGACAGAGGCACAAGCTTCAATAGTCAAGCCATTGAAGGATTTGAATGAAGACCTAAACTCTCTCATGTATTTGGACTGTCTGGGGCATCCATCACTGCAGGGCAAAAACTGTTGTGTGTCAGACAACAGCCTTAGAAAGATGATCCATCCTACTACCAAGGCGGACACGGGAGACATCCTATCATCTGTAAAAGTGGCGAATGCCAGGGATACGATACAGATGCTTCACGGCTATAGATATTATTACAAAAGCAGTGTTCAATTCTCAAGAACACCAGTTTATCTTCTTGAGACAGGGTTCCCACCAACACCAACTGCATTCATCTGTATCCGATTATATGCAGAATATGCTGTATTCACAACCTCTAGATGATCAACTATTCAACAGCAAGTGGGACAGTGGGGTAGCTTAGTGGTTAAAGCGTTTGCTCCTCACGCCGAAGACAGGGTTCGAATCCCCACATGGGTACATTGTGTGAAGCCCATTTGTGGTGTCCCCCGCTGTGATTTTGCTTGAATATTGCTAAAAGCGGTGTAAAACCAAACTCAGTCAGTCAGTCAACAGCAAGTGCAAAGAAGCATTGAAGGCCTTGATGTTTGAGGAGGATAGGAAGTTCCACACAGCTTTGACTTCAACTTCATCGTCCTCAATAAGACTCCAACAAAACACACTCTATAGTCAGGGGCCCCAAAGGCTTTCCCAGCCAGGAAGATGGCAAGTCTAAGAGTCCAGTGGGTGGTTGTTTGTCACCTTTCATATAGAACTGGAAGGTCATATAACGTCGAAGATGGATATAGTATTCAGTTTACCAGGAGTAACCCTAGTTTGACATATCCAATAGACATTGCTATCAACCCAGGGATTCAAAATTTCAGTGGTGAGGACATTGACAGACAAGCTCTTGGACAAGAAAGCTGTCGGCTAGTCGAACCTTTTGGACCCCAGGATTGGGTACCCCAAAAGGATTCAATACACCCAGAATGATTACGATCCTCAACCGGGTATATCTGAGACAACCAACTATGTTTCAGATGGAGTCCATACATACCCTGAGGCAGATGGTTTCCATAAGAGATTCTATGATCTCCATAGATCTGCTGTATGGTTATCTACACATGCCTATCAGATTCTCAAAATATCTACAAGCTGATGTCAATGGGTGCATTTTCCAGTTCAGAGCTGTGTTGTTCAGGATATCAGTGGCTCTATGGATATTCACGATTATAACCGCTACGTTTCTAGGATATGTGCATCTTCAACTCATAAGAATTC